GAGAACAGTTGTGTGATGCAAACTGAATATCCCAGTTTCTTAGGACAGATTCCAGGCAGATCACGTCGTTAAATGCAGGTGACCTGAGTCCACTTAGAAAGTGATTTCTGCGGCCACTGGAAGACTGGCCATGATGAGTAGCCCCTTTCCTCGGCAAGAGCACCTCCCACCTCACTGATGGCCGCAGTCACTCAGGAACCTCAGTGCTGCTTTTTTACCAAATCCAACTCCTGGGCAGTGGTATAAATGCAGAATGAAGTGCTCAGGACCATGCAGCCTGCAGGGGGAAAATACTCCCCGTGAGGACCGTCTCCTGCTTTCCTTCCCATCTGAGCAACAGAGCGGCCACACATTCACATTTATACTCAGGAAATGAGTCTGCCCAAGGTCTTCCCAGTTTACAAAGCAGGAGGCAGCAGCGACAGATCTGAGGATGTTCGCCTCCCAGAAAACCAAGGACAGCCATCCATCCACAGCAATGACCTCATCCTGAGATGGTCTCCCTACACTGTCTCTGCTGGAGCTAGAGGCTCTATGAGGCCCAGGTATGTTCCGCAAGCACCTCTGACCCCAGGGACCAGACAGAGCTGATCATCCAGTAGGTTCTTTATTAATGTTTGTTGAACACTGAGTCAATAACAGCTTGTTTATCCTCTCTTACTTTTTATGGTTTTTTAAAAATGTATCTTGTATTTTCTTGCTTTCTAATAGGAGTAGGAAAGTGTGTGTGTGTTTTTTCAAAAACAAAGGCTGGTTCACAGGTGAGAGCACAGAGAACCGCCTGCAGGGAGACCCCAGGGCTGGATGCACACTCCTGGGGTATGTGTCATACACAGACCAAGAAGAGGCCCAGCCCTAGAGAAGTCTCATCTAGCTGGGATGGCATATCTAGAGGATCCAAGGTAGACCAGACGTCTGGGGGAGAGCCGGACGCACTCCAACGGCTGTGCAAAATAGTCAATCCAGAAATTCAGGAAACACCCAAATAAGATAAAGCCAAAACAAAATAAAGGGAGCAGAGGGGGGGCAGCTCCGCCCCGAAGTCCCCCTGAACACCAGGCCAGACCTCATTCTGGCACTTGAAGGGACTTAATCTTTCAGTCAACAAATCGTCTTAGTGTTTTATGCAACTCGCAGAGTCCCAGGAGTATGAATCCAGATGAGAAGCAGCTGTAAAGCCAAACCACAGGCAGCCGGCACAAAACAAATACACCTTCCCCAAACTCTCACCACCACCCTACTCGCCCTGCCCGTCAACGGGAGGCCTCACGTGGCCAGCACCGACCTTGTCCCGCAAAGGACGGGGCTCCCGGCTGGTTCTTTACCCGGCCCCTGGCCGGAAAACAGGCCAGAGCGTAAGCCAGACAAGTTCCAGAAGCTCACCTGTTGGCTGGATCAGCACGGTGGCCACTTCCACGGCTTTCTCTTGAATCTCTTGCCAGCTGCCCTGCTCGCCGATCCACTCGCTGACCACGCACCTGTAGGAGCCCTGGTCTGAGGCCAGGGTGCGGGTCACCGCCAGGCGGTAGCCATCGCCGCCCACGGTGTCCAGGCGCACGTCGCCAGCTCGGTAGCGCTGCTCGTAGCCGGGCCCCGGGCGGAAGCGGCCCTCGTGGGTCAGGGCCAGCACGCTCCGCCGGGCCGCGCCGCGCTGCAGCTCCCACAGCAGCGCCAGG